AGACAGGAGGGGATGGGAAAGACCTCCGCCTGAGACCTTGGATAGCCACGAAGTGGGGCTGTGGCTCAGTGGTAGAGCGTCTGCTTGGCAGGCAGAAGGCCCCAGGTTCAATCCCCGGCATCTCCAGTTAAAGTGACCAGGCAGGAGGTGATGGGAAAGACCTCAGCCTGAGACCCTGGAGAGCCATGAAGAGGGGCTGTAGCTGAGTGGTAGAGCATCTGCTTGGCATGCAGAAGGCCCCAGGTTCAATCCGCGGCATCTCCAGTTAAAAGGACCAGGCAGGAGGGGATGGGAAAGACCTCCGCCTGAGACCCTGGAGAGCCACTTGCTGTCTGAGTAGACAGTACCGACCTTGATGGGCTGAGGGTCTGATTCAGAGCACACCCTTGACCAGATTTTACAGCACCCTGCAATTCTTTGCCACCCACCCCCCCTCCGTTTATCTCCCCCCACCCCAGGCATCTAAGTAGGGTTGCCAGCACTGGGTTGGGAGATACTGGGAGATTGGGTGGGGAGAACCGGGAGAGGGCGGGTCTTGGGGAGGGGAGGGGCCTCCGCAGGGTATAAGGCCATAGAGTCCACCTTCCAAAGCAGCCATTTTCTCCAGGGGAACCGATCTCTGTAATCCCAGGGGATCTCTAGCCACCCCCTGGAGGTTCCAGCCACAAATGGACCCCAGTGACTCAACCAAGGTTGTCCCCCGCCCATGTTCACTGTGCAAAAACGATTCTTGTCCAATGACAGTCCACAACTTTGCTTCTTCTTCTTTCGTGTCTTTATTTGAGGTCATGCAGTGCTGCTGCTGCTGCTTCTAACAATTGCCATGTGGCTACAGGTTTCCCCGGTGAGCCATCTGTTTCCCTCAATGCTTTGTCAGGTGTCATTCTGCAACTGTTTATTTTTCAGCAGCCGTATTCTCCTTTCTTTCTCTGCATTGCTGAATGTCAATGGCTCACTCCGCTGCATGGCGTAAAATAAACAAAAAGAAGCAGCAACAAATTCGTGGACTGTAATTGGACTAGAATCGTTTTTTGCTCAGTGAACAGGGGTGGGGTACCAGCTGGAGGTTGGCAACTCTAGCTCGGAGACAGTGTCTTTTCTAGTTCTGTGGTCGGCGGATAACGTTATTCATGGCTATTTTGGGGCAGGAACGCACAGGAACGGAGTTCCGGCTGGCTCCTGAGTTGGCCACGCCCAGCAGGAACTCATTCGCATAATAGGCCACACCCAACAGCAGGAACTCATTAGGATTGGCTACTTAGAGGTGTGTGGCCTAACATGCAAAGGAGTTCCTGCAACAAAAAAAGCCCTGGGTTTTGACAACAAACAAGGTAAACAGAATAAGAAGCAAAAGGTGGGTGTGGCTGGATAACCACACTTCTGGTGACAGGGGTGTGTGGCCTCATATGCTAATGAGCTGTGCTGTCAGGGGTGTGGCCTAATTTCTGCTGTTTCTGCTGTTGGGTGTGACCAATTATGCTAATGAGTTCCTGCTGGGGGTTTTCTACAACCCCCCCCCCTGACGTTATTGCTTCAGCACGGCCAACATGAATAAATCCTTAATATGTTCTGCCAAAAGCTGTACATACATTCGATACACACATTACATTAACAGTTCTCCCAGATTTTCACCATATACTTGAGGATTTTGCAACTATATTACTTATTTTCTGAAATCCTCAGCCGTAATGAATTGAACATAGTATATATGGGGTATCTTTACAATCCAGTATTCTAATACACTGTGGTTATTCACTATTAAATTGTTCACAATCTTCTTGAGAGTGAATTCTCACTAATAATAAATTCTGAGAAGAAATTCATCACAAAAAGGACGATACAATCATATTAATGCCCAGTTACGATCTCAACACAAACTATCACATCACATCACATCACATCAAGAAATAGTACAAATTAACATCACCCTCTCAATCAATGCTCCCTGTAAGCTGTGGAGTCTTGTGAGCAACAATTCGACTTTGTGAGCTCCTGGCATTAAAGTTGTGAGCGAGCGATTTGGCTGCTGCATCAATCAGTTTGCTCCGGAGCCCTCCTTCCTCAGCGAAGACAAAAATGTGCAAGCCAGAGGCTAAAAAACGGTGAGTTAGCTCATACTATAATGGCAGAAAGTGAAGAGGAGCTAAAGAGCCTTTTGCTGAGGGTGAAAGGGGAGAGCGCAAAAGTTGGCTTGAAACTCAACATCAAAAAAACGAAGATCGTAGCATCCAGCCCCATCGCTCCTTGGCAAATAGAAGAGGAAGTTGTGGAAGCAGTGACAGAATTCACGTTCCTGGGATCCAAGATCACTGCAGACGGTGACTGCAGCCATGAAATTACAAGACGCCTGCTCCTTGGGAGGAAAGCGATGGCAAACCGTGACAGCATAATAAAAAGTAGAGACATCACCCTGCCAACAAAAATCCGTATAGTCAAAGCAATGGTATTCCCAGTAGTACTGTATCGCTGCGAGAGTTGGACTATAAGGACGGCCGAGCGCCGAAGAATAGATTCTTTGGAACTATGGTGCTGGAGAAGACTCTTGAGAGTCCCTTGGACTGCAAGGAGATCAAATCAGTCAATCCTAAAGGAAATCAACCCTGACTGTTCCCTGGAAGGCCAGAGACCAAAGCTCAAATACTTTTCAGTCATCTTAACTGGATCTTGGTAACGAACGCCACACACTCTGCCGCTTGCACTGCGACCCATCTATCCTTATCTGCCAGTAAGACAACTCATTTATTTTGCTCTGACCTGCCTGGCAGACGTTGTAAAATATTTCTCAGCTGCTTCTCCCGAACAGTTACAAATCTCGGGCACCGAAACGTAACACGAGCCAGCTCTTCAATGGATTTGTGGTCACAGGAGCGCACTCGATCATTGAACGGGGTCTTTTTGTAGTGGCCCTTCGTGACGGATGATTGTAAAATATCCACATCCAAGCCCTAGTAAAGGCCTTTCCATATCCTATGACCATTCCGTGGTCAAGAACAGGGTTATTTCCCCTCCCAAGTTATGGATGCGCGGGGGTCCCAACTGTGGTTGGGAAATTCCTGGAGATGGGGGGGTGCAGCCCAGGAAGGGGAAAGTTCGGGGAGGGGAGGCTGCCTCCAAAGCAGCCGTTTTCTCCAGGGGAGCTGATTTATGTCGTCTGGAGACTAGCTGTAATCAGTGTTTCCTCTAAGCTGAGTTAGTGTGAGCCAGCTCACAGTTTTATAGCCTCCAGCTCACACATTTTTCTCTTAGTTCAGGAAGGAGGGCTCCAGAGCAAACTAATTTATGCAGTAGCCAAACTACAGGCTCACAACCTTAATGCCAGTAGCTCACAAAGTAGAATTTCTGCTCACAAGACTCCACAGAGCAGTGGTGGTGAACCTATGGCACGGGTGCCAGAGGTTGCACTCAGAGCTCTCTCTGTGGGCATGCGTGCCATCACCCCAGCCAGGCCCAGACCATCATTAAAGTGTCAAATTCTCTGCCAAATAATTTTAAGGAAATGAAAGCATTTGGGATTGCTTTCCTTACTTTGTTTGGATCATCTTAAGTTAATGTATGAGTGGTTTTTTTCTAAAGTACAACCTCAGTATTTAGGTTAAATTGCCATGTTGGCACTTTGCGATAAACAAGTGGGTTTTGGGTCGCAGTTTGGGCAGTCGGTCTCTAAAAGGTTCACCATCCCTGCCTTAGAGGGAGCGTTGGTTGTAATACTACATTCTGGCAGCAGGGGGTTGGAGGTTCCGTTCCTGGATGTCCTGACACATCTGACATCATCACGCTAGGCTTGTCATGGGGGGGCGCGCTAGCATTTGGTCAAAAACTCTACGGTATCATAGAGTTTTGGGCCAGATGCTAGAGCGTCCCCCTGGCGACGTGCCCTGCGTGATCACGCCGGACGCCGGGGAGCTCTTTGGGGGGTGGGTCTGCCTCCGCTGGCAGCTGGCCGGCGGGTGGATCGGAGGGCTGGAAATCGGGGCGAAACCCTGACCCTCCATTTGGAGGATGAACCCTATGATACTAGGAGATCCTCCAGGCCCCTCATCGAAGATGGCCGCTTTCCACACCCCTTGCGGACAGAGAATTCCCCGCATTGGTGATTCCCCACGGGAAGGATCCCCCTCTGCAGCCTGCCCCAGCCCCACTGCCGACTGCTTTTCCGCAGTGAAGGACTCTGAAAATCAGTTTCCTCCCCCCCACCCCAGGCGACGAGGAAGACGAGGAGGACGGGCATGAGGAGCGGCTCCCTTCCTGCTTCGACTACGTCATGCACTTCCTGACCGTCTTCTGGAAAGTCCTCTTCGCCTGCGTGCCCCCCACCGAGTACTGGAACGGCTGGGCCTGCTTCTGCGTCAGCATCATGGTGATCGGCCTCCTGACGGCTCTCATCGGCGACCTGGCCTCCCACTTCGGCTGCACCATCGGCCTCAAGGACTCGGTCAACGCCGTCGTGTTCGTGGCCCTGGGCACCTCCATCCCAGGTAGGGTGAGAACTGGGTTGCTGGATCGGTCCGAGGGCCTGGCGCTCTCTTCCCAGGAAGCAGGACTTTGAAGGGAATAGCCGTTTCCCCCTTTCTGTCCCTAGGAGCCAGTGAGCTGAGATAGACTGCCTCACTACATGTAGGCCCCGCAGAGCTATCACTGCCTGATACCCGCTGACAGAGGCTGAGATAGACTGCCTCACTACATGGAGACAAACAAGAAACCACTGTGATAAAATGACAATGACACATTTAATAAATTCTGTAGACATTTTGCAGTATAGTAAAAAATTCAAAACAGAGTCCAACATATTCATTTTCTCTTTTCTCGATGAGTTCACCGGTTTTTACACTCATTTCAGCTATCTTCCTCATGAGTAATCTTATAAAGTTGGAAGGTGTTTTCTTCTTAGTAAAATATCCTGTAACAAGCATAGTTTTGAGGAGTGAAAACAAACATGAAGCTGAATGTAATGATTTTGTTATCACTTTTAACTAGAATAATTTTAAACTTACTTTCAGTTCCATTGCATAGTACTTGAATAGGAGCAAGCCAATTACTTAATTTCTATTCGTAGCAGCCAGTCCAAAAATTTTATGTGGCAACAGGCCTACTTTAAATTGGCTGGCATTTGCTCTCCATTTCACATTGCTGGCTGATAGCTCTCTATTAGTGAGGCCCCGCAGAACTATCACTGCCTGATACCCACTGATAGAGGCTGAGATAGACTTCTTTACAACATGGAGGTTCCACACAGCTATCACTAATACCCACTGATAGAGGCTGAGATAGACTTCTTTACAACATGGAGGTTCCACACAGCTATCACTAATACCCACTGATAGAGGCTGAGATAGACTTCTTTACAACATGGAGGTTCCACACAGCTATCACTAATACCCACTGATAGAGGCTGAGATAGACTTCTTTACAACATGGAGGTTCCACACAGCTATCACTAATACCCACTGATAGAGGCTGAGATAGACTGCCTCACTACATGGAGGCTCCGCAGAGCTATCACTGCTTGATACCCGCTGATAGAGGCTGAGATAGACTGTGTCAGTGATAGAGTACTCTCTGTGTCAGTGTGAGAAGAAAAATGGTAGGCAGGTGATTTATATCTACTCAGGAAGGTGGGGTAGGGCTGAGTCATTATCTTGTCGGAGTTCCCCAGGCTGTGACATGCTAATGGAGGAGCTTTCCTGAGGAGGTTCTTTTGCATACGGATTGGCTGTTGAAATTCTAATCTTATCTGTAGTGCTGTTGTAAGATGTACATTTTTTGAGCTAACTGGCACAGAGAGTTCTCCATCTTTCTGTGTTATACCTCTGAGGATGCCAGTCGCAGCTGCTGGCAAAATGTCAGGTCCCACAATGTCAAGGCCACGGCCACACAACCTGGAAAATCTACAACAACTAATGAACTTCGGCCCCGAAATCCTTCGACAACATATTCAAACAGCACCTTGTCAGTTTCACAATCACTAGTCCCAGGGGACTCTAGTAATTTACCTGTATCTAATACAGTCTTTTTCAAGGACAGTGATATACATACAAGACATAAGGTGCAATAAATTCTCTTTGTGGGTATAAAACTCTTAAAACAGCAGCCTTTTTCTAGGGTCCCATTGGAAGCCTTGCAGCAAACATCATAACTTGTCTAGGAGAACATACCTCTAAAGTTCTATCAGGCAGCACAAAATAGATCTACCTTAAGCATACATCTATTATAAAAGGTAAAGGTAAAGGTTCCCTTGCTCGAAAGCCAGTCGAATCCGACTCTAGGGTTGCGGTGCTCATCTCCGTTTCAAAGCCTAAAAGCCAGCGCTGTCCGAAGACGTTTCCGTGGTCATGTGGCCGGCATGACTAAACACCAAGGCGCACGGAACGCTGTTACCTTCCCACCGAAGTGGTACCTATTTATCTACTTGCAATTTCTTGCTTTCGAACTGCTAGGTTGGCAGGAGCATGTCACAGCTCACTCCGTCATGTGGCAACTCGGGTCTCGAACTGCTGAACTACCGACCTTCCACAGCCTGCATCTATTATACACAGTGTCATACTTTCCCATACCCACCTGGAGGTTGTCAGCCTGACCTGGGATGGAAACCTCGTGACTCAATGTAGAATACTGGCTAGCGTGTCAAACTAGGATTTGGGAGGCCCAGGTTCGAATCCCTGCTCCACTTGCCATGGAAGCTTGCTGACTGACCTTGGGCCAGTCACCCTTTCTGTCAGCCTAACCTCCCTCACAGGGTCGTTGTGCTTCCCTGCATTCTATGGAAGACGAGTAGGATAAAAACATACGAGAGAGAGGTGGGAGAAATCTAGTCTTGCCCTCTGGAAAAGCAGAAAACCAGTCTTTGTTCTCATCAGTGTGATGGCCAGCTAAGGTCGCCAACTTTGGGTAGGGAGATTCCTGGAGATTTGGGGGCGGGGTTTGGGAAGGGGGAGGGACCCCATCAGGGTACAGTGTCATTACAGTCTGCCCTCCAAAGCAGCCCTTTTCTCCAGGGGAAACTGATCTCGGTTCTCCGGAGATCAATTGTAATAGCAGGCAGGGCCGGCTCACTCACTAGGTGAACTAGGCGATTGCCTAGAGCGGGCCGGCCCTTAGGGGTGCCAAGCTGCACCCGGCCCCGTACTCTGGGAGTTTCTTGATTATTTGTGTTTTTCATTCTTCCTAAAATACATTTATTTTTGAAAATTGGTGGGCACATGGGGGGGGGGGCGCCAGAAGGGATCCTCGCCAGGGGTGCAAAATAAGCTGAGGCCGGCCCTGGTAGCAGGAGATCTCCAAGTCCCACCTGGAGGGCTGGCGACCCTGTTCACGGCCTCCTTCTGACCCGGCTCTTCTCTTCCCTGCAGACACCTTCGCCAGCAAAGTGGCGGCCCTCCAGGACCAGTGCGCCGACGCCTCCATCGGCAACGTGACGGGCAGCAACGCAGTCAACGTCTTCCTGGGCCTGGGCGTGGCGTGGTCGGTGGCCGCCATCTATTGGGCCTTCCAGGGCAAAGACTTCGAGGTAGCGGCGGGGACCATGGCCTTCCCCGTCACCCTCTTCACCATCTTTGCCTTCATCTGCATCAGCGTCCTCATGTACCGGCGCCGTCCGCACATAGGGGGCGAGCTGGGGGGGCCCCGAACCGCCAAAATCCTGACCGTGACCCTCTTCGTGGGCCTGTGGTTCATCTACATCCTCTTTGCCGGCCTGGAGGCCTACTGCCACATCAAGAGCTTCTGAAGACTCGTGGCCGGAGGGCGAAGAGATGGGACGGGAGTGGGCGAAGAGGGAGGCCAGAGGGTAACCCAGTCTGCAAGAGGGTACCTCTGCACACAGACTTCTCCCCCCCACCAAGCATCTGTTTGTACCACAGATCTTCTCTCTCCTTGCTGCCAGGCCCAGGGGGGGCGCATATTTTTCTAACTCGCAGCTGTAGCAAGGAGAACCCCTTTCCCTTCCCCCTTCTGCGGCAAACATTCCAACGTTTTTTGTGTGCGTATGTGCATGGGGGGGTCTTCCCGCTGCCCCACAGACCTGGGGGATTTGGCGGGGAAACCAACAGGAACCGGAAGTCAAACAGGGGTCGCTTGGGATGTCCTCTTGGCCTCCTACCTGGGCCAAAGGACCCAGCGGGAGTCTTTACTAAAAAGCCATCCAGTGGTTCTCTCCATCTCTGCCCCAGCGAGAACCCCAGAATTTGGAAGAACTAGGCCTCTTGTTCCATCGGAGGGGGGGTCTTGTGAGAAGTGTTGTCTCCCCCCACACCCCTCGCTCTGTTTGTAATGGGGGGGCACGTGGAGTGGGAAGGGGAGATACTAGAGAGGGACAATAGCTGGAACGCGATGGAGTTTTGATGTTTATTCTCTCTTATCTCTCTCTTGCTTTTTCCCCCGTTTGACGTTATCGATAGTTGTCTCGTGGTTTTCAAAACGTCTCGCTAGGCCGCGGTGGGGTTGTCCAGGCCATTTGGCCCGGACTGGGTGCAGCCAAAAACGAGGGGACATTTGGCTTCAAGTTCAGCTCCCACCTCCTCCCCTTTGTGATTCCCCCCCCCGGAGGGCGAACACTGGCGGGTTTCACACGAACCGTTAAGTTCAGGTTAAGCCGCCCTTAATGTGCTTTTTAAATGTCCGCTTCACTGTCCCTGGCAAGAGGGGTTTAAGGAAAGAAGTACATACCCCTCCTGTAAAGGAATATTCTTTCTCCTGATCTTTCTGTGAAGGGACCATCGATCGGGAGAGTAGATCACCTTCTACGCGCCCTCCCTAGGAGAACTCTATCAAACTTCTTCCTCTCGGTAAAGAATTGCGGGACATCCGCTCTGTGACCTAGTTCATGTCACCCACAGCGGAAATTAACAAGCGACCCCGACATGAAGCCCTGACCTGGATAACCCAGGCTATCCCGATCTCATCCGATCTCAGAAGCAAAGCAGGGTCGGCCTGGCTTAGTATTTGGATGGGAGACCACCAAGGAAGTCCAGGTTTTTTTTGTAGAGGTAGGCAATGGCACACCGCCTCTGTTTATTTCTTCCCTGACGTGGATGGCCCAGGCTAGACTGATCTCGTCAGATTTATTTATTTATTTATTCGAGTATTTCTACCCCGCCCTACCCCGCGAACGGGCTCAGAAGCTAAGCATGGTTGGCCCAGGCCCATCGCCAAGATTTTGTGGCTTTGGGGGCAATTATGTTTCTGGTGGGGCTGAAGTTCTCGGTGCAGAAAGAAAAGCCGTTTAGCCAATCGAAAGCTGTTGCCAGGAGAGATCTCTAAATTGCGAGCAGTCCACCGCTTCGGAGGACAGTTCTCAGCTGCTGCAAGTTAATCGCTTCCGCCAGCCTAAGCGACAATTCTGAGAACAAGCCGGCAGGTGGGGGTGATGACTTTTATAGTCAAGAAAGCTAGCACTTAGGCAGAAGAACTCCCTTAAAGGAGACCAGTTTCTTGACGCAGAGTTAGAAGGGATCCTAGAGGTCACCTACTCCAACCCCCTTTCTCAGTGTGGGAATTAGTCAGCTACAGCGCCCCACTCTGCTTAAAGGAGTAAAAGGTAAAGGTTCCCTTGCTCTTAAGCTAGTCTAGGGTTGCGGTGCTATTCTAAAATGACTGGGGGGAAAGCATTTACTGGAGAAATTCTTGGGCTGTGCCTTTAAGAAATGGGGGCAGAGCCCCCCCCCCAAACCCCACCATAGCTACGGGCCTGGGTTGGCCATGGTTAGTATTTGGATGGGAGACCACCAGGCAAGTCCAAATTTGCTATGCAGAAGCAGGCCATGGCAAACCGCCTCTGAATGTCTCTTGCCTTGACCTGGATGGCCCAGCCTAGCCTGATCTCGTCAGATCTCGGAAGCTAAGCAGGGTCGGCCCTGGTCAGTATTTGGATGGGAGACCGCCAAGGAAGCCCAGGGTTGCTATGCAGAAGCAGGCAATGGCGAACCACCCCTGAATGTCTCTTACCTTGAAAACCTTACGAGGTTGCTGCGACTTGATAGTGCTTTCCACCCCCCGCTATGCAGTATGAATGTAGATGTTGCGTGTGTGGGATGGATCCCCTAGGGCATCCCTTCGTCACAGCCATACCTCCCCCGGGAGTCCCGACGGTGGGAAATCCTTTGAGATCCACCCGTCCCCAGCGATCCCATCATTCAAACCCTCTCAGCACAGCGAGGGATCCAGATCACATGGAAGGTGGGACTCCAAGGCCTCGGAAAGATAGGAAACAGACTTACCGTGTCGCTGAGAGAGAGGATCCCTCTCCAGTCGGAACGTTGACCTCTTCTCTCGTACATCTACGAATGGCGAGACGATCCAGGCCCCGTCGGGAGCAAACGCTGCCGCCCTTTGGGTCGTGGGAACGAAGATGCAGACCATTGGTTGTAGATCTTCACAAGCCTTGGAGTTTCTCTTTTTGGAGCACAAATTACAGTAGGGTCCTTGAGCTGGAAGCCTCCTTCGAGGCCCCTCGGTCCAATCGCCCCCGCTCAGGGAATTCAGAGCTTCAACATTCCTGACAAAGGGACGTCCAGAGAGGGTTGCCGGCTCCGGGTTGGGAAGCACCTGGAGATTTGGGGGAGGGGGAGGGACCTCTGTGAGCCACCCAGAGCCTATTTATAGGGTGGGCGGGGTATAAATATAAGTATAAATGAATAAAATAAATCGTGCCAGAGAGTCCGCCTTCCAAGGCAGCCATTTTCTCCAGGGGAACTGATAACGATCGCCTGGAGATCGGTTGTAATAGCGAGAGATCTCCAGCCACCGCCTGGAAGCACAACCAACAAGCAAACACTGTGATATAGATGACAACACACATTAAGTCAGAATCTATATATCTAATATATAGACGCCATCAGTAAAAAAAATAATTCTGACACCCACAACTCTCTCTTCTGGGCATCAAGCACACATCCCAGTAAATCGGCTGTTTCCCCTCTCTCTCCTGTATTTTGGGCCACCCGTCGTCAGTGCTCCCGCTAAGCTGTGGGGTCTTGTGAGCAAAAATGCTACTTCGTGAGCTACTGGCATGAACGTTGTGAGCGAGCGATTTGGCGACTGCGTCTGGAGCCCTCCCTTCCTGAGCTAAGACAACAATGTGAGCCAGAAGCTAAAAAAACTGTGAGCTAGCTCACACTGACTCAGCTTAGAGGGAACATTGCCTGGCATTACTAGGTTCGCCAACTTTCTGGTAGCTCCTGAAGATCTCCCACTACTACAAATGATCTCCAAGAACAGTTCCCCTGGACGGCTGCTTTGGAAGGTGGACTCTATGGCACTGTACCCTGTCAAGGTCCTTCCGCTCCCCCAAACCCCACCCTCCCCAAGCTCCACCCCCAAAATCTCCAGGTAACACCCAACTCCGAGCTGGCCACCCGAGGCATCACAGATATCCACCTCCTTTTCAGGTACAGATGTCCAACGAGCCTTAGGCTCTGACACTGCCTTATCCTGACATCTCGGGCAGGCAGAGGGTCTTCCTAGTTCCTTCTGCCTGAGCTCTTCAAGGTGGAAGTGCCGTGGATCGAACCGGGGACCTTCTGCACATAAAGCAGGTGCGTTGCCACTGACTGAAGCACAGGCGTCTGGTTCCCTCCCGTTTTGTTGGACGGCAGAAGTATTAGGCTGGACCTTTTCCTAGAAAAGGAAGAAGAGTTGCAAACGTTTTGCTACAGCCGCACAACCCCCCACCACCACCACCTGCAGTGACCCACTCTCTCTTGGACCCTCTCTTGGAATTCTGTGTGCGACTCGTTCAGAAGTTATCCTGGGGATGTCAGGTTGAGCATGGTATGGTTGATACGGGGCCTCCGCCCAATCCCCATTGATCTGTGTTGCCAGCTTCTGGTTTCAAAAAAATGCTAGCTCTTCGGGTGGGGCAGCACGGCCTGCAGGAACGTGGCACATGAAGGGCAGGGGAAGGGCGGGCTCTGCCAGTTCGGGGCCGAGGTGTAGAGCCTCGGGAAAACCCAACAGATTAAGGGTTCAGTCCAGCAAATCTCCCTTTTGCCAGGTTTTGCACAGGACATTCAGTGGCCCGGCTGGTGAAATGCTAGCTCATTTGCACCCAGAGCCCTGGTCGTGCCCTTCCACTCCAGAAAAACTCGTGCTTAGAGTTGCCAGCCTGCAGATGGACCCCAGAGATCTTCAAGAATTATGACTGATCCCCAGACTACAGCGATCAGTCCCCTTGGGAAAATGGCTGTTTTGGAGGGTGGACTCTACGGCATTATACCCCACCCCAGGCGCCAACCTCTCCCAAACTTCTGTTGCACCACACAGCTCAGTTTCCACCCGTCTTCTTTATGAGACCAGGAGTGATCCCTAAGGGTGACCAGTACGAGGGGAGTGGGCACCGATTTCCTACCCCTCCAAAGAGGCCGGACTCATCTTTTATCTTTGTGTGCATACACTCATTATTTGTACAGAATTATCAGTGTAACACGGAGTTCTACTGCCTAACCAAGGAGAGAGCTCCCTGCCCCTATGGAGCTTCCGTTCGAAATATCAGCCGTGAAAAGAGGCAAACACACAGCGGAGAGAGTGGAGAAATGGGGTGTGGAACGCCAACCCGGTTTGGGACCTAAGTTGAGGGTGAGGCCCGAAATGGTAACAAAGGTGTGTTTGGAGGAAGGCTATTGCGGCGATACCCTCCTCAGGTAAGACCGGGAGGCTCTGTCCTACCTCCGCGGCTTCACCTGGTGGGTCTTCTATCCTAGCCATTTTGGCTTGGGCTGTCAACGTCCAGGG